AAAAAATAACGAAGAATAATTCATTTGCAGAGGTACCTTATTTAAGTATTATACAATGCTAACAATGCGGCTCTTGTAGCACTGGCTTGGGCAAGGCATCCATGTGCAAAGCAGTGGTGTTTGTTTATCCATGAAAAAAGAACGCTGGGAAAGTTTGCCTTACCAGGAAAAGGTGACGTATCTAGCTTATGACGTATGCATGCTAACTAAGGTGAGTGTGACGTCACCAAAAAAATGAATATTTTCTATTATAACCAAAATATTAATAACTACAAAGTTTATGGGCGTAAATTCCCTTAATATGAATGAAGGGTTGCTCAATCTCCTTGCCATACAAATTACAGCTGCCACTGACGTCTCAGTCGAGAAATACGGGTAGCTGAAGTTTTTCTCGCAAATCTGACTACAAAACCATATCCAAATTTCACGTTCCACTTTTGACCCTGGGTTGTGCTTCGCACTCGCCGCTGAGGGCGGCGTTCCGGGAACCCTGCGTCAAGGCTTATTTACGATATTTTGGCCTACACCATGCGTTCATCCACGCATAATCACTGCAGCTTACTCGATACCCCACCACTGAACTGGTTTCGCTAGGGGGAGGTCATGTATGCATATTATTCATGCACATCAGTTCACCTAACGGACCCAAAATAGCGCCCTCAATAACTGATGCCTTAACTGTATGAGTCAAAAAATTATGCTGCCGGATGGACCACTTCCAAAATGCTTCCGTCTGATATAGATTGGAGTCTTTTTAGAAAAGAGAGTGTTTTTGTACGCTGCACCACGTCTCTGTAATTGTGTTCCACCTCTTTTTTGAATGTCCCAATCATTTTTAAGAATAAACATAAGACCTTACACCTGTGAACATTTGTTTTATGGCGCTATTTAACTTGAATAAATGACTGATCTGCGCGCAACAATGATGATTCAAGGAATTTTAAATAGAGGAGCCCAGGCTGAAACTTTCACAGGTGGAGGGGTGTACCACCTCAGCCCCACCATGGTTGATTATGGCATCTCCTTATAGAACCGGAGATGGCACTCTCATACTTAAAATTTGAATAGATTTCCTTTTTTTCTCCATTTTGAAAATTTTATGTAGGGGACGGGGTGGGCAGCTGCCCCCCACCCCACCCTGAATCCATCACTGCACAAGAATACAGTATGGTGGTTTTTTTTTACTTGCCTCGAACAAAGAGTTTGGTAAAAAAAGTGGAGAATGATTTCTTTTTTATTGCAATCTATACTCAATAACATGTACTACTGAGATTACAAACAGTAACACTTTGATTTCACAAGTAGTTAGACAATACATAAAATAAAATGTGTACAACATTTAGTTTCTGGCATTTGTGCCTGAATACTAATCACAGTGACTGTGATAATAAATTATAAATGAATAATTTTAGTAAACATAATACAGTAACATTAATACCAATACTGTAATAATATTCACACAGTGACTGTGATAATAAATTATATATGAATAATTTTAGTAAACATAATACAGTAACATTAATACCAATACTGTAATATTAACAATAATAATAATAAACATCGTTTTGTGTATAGAATGTATAGGCTATTGACCATACATAAAATAAATAAATAAAATAAATAATAAGGTACGTTACTATTTATAACACAAAATAACATTATTAAATACATACTTGTAAAATAACAGAATTACGCAATGTACAGTAAGAACAGATGAACCAAAAAGTCATCTATTGTACAGTAGCACCTTCTACTGATCAGAAATCATATTTGGATGGTTCATATTCAAATAATTCAAACAAACGTTTATGCTGTATAAAATTGTAACATCTCAAGCTCTATGTCTGGCTATTGGTTACAATGTGATATGCAGTATAATTGAGATTTAAAAGTGCTGTGTAGTACACAAAGATAGAATGTAAACTAAAGGCCCATTTATTCTTAAAATTTGTTCACTTTTCATGTAATTCTTCGTTACAATTTTTTCCGCAACTACTAAAATGGTTGCATAATTACATCTTCTGAATTATTCACAAAGCCCACCGTAAAAAAATGCGAGCTTGGATGTATGCGACAATAAATAAAGATTCATCAGATGCATTATCTAGCTTGCTAGAATTTTCATAATGCAAATTACTGTAGGCGTACGCTTCTTTCCTTCCAGTGGCGGCGTAACAAAGTGGCCTTGGCCACTGGCTAAGATTTCTAGGGCTCCTACTACCCAGGGGCTGCATCAAAGTAGATAGCCCTGAGGGAGGGACAAGCCCTCACTTCGGTGTTTATGCCGTTTTAGGAGTGCATTAACAGTAGATGTTCTAACATGTTCATTAAAAGACCCTGCTCGTACTATTTTTGCAAAATGCAAATTGCTGATGAACATCCCAGTGCCCCTTAGGGTCTGGGGGTCCCTAGCTTTAGCCAGTGACAGCTCATTGGGGGATCAGATTCCACACTAGCCACTAAGTGCAAGCTCAGTGGTCTAGTAGTTATTACACCAGCAGGCTAGTTATCTGGAGGTCGTGGATTCGATTCTTACCCAACTCGCTTGCAAAATCTATTCGCAACGTACTGAGTCTTCACATCAGGTATTGGAAAATATCACTCCTATAATATTTTATCTAGTACAGCAGCAACAATGAATGGGTTGATATGATGTGTTGAAATTTCCATTGATGATCCTACGATGATTAACTTAAATTGATCGAATATCTGTCCATGGTGGCGCTCTGATAATCATTGAATTTTGTAAGAAGGGGTTCAGTCAACACTGGTTGATTGGACTGTACCATTATTGGTAGAGGAATTTCTATTATCAGATATGTCAGCATGCACTGTACTTCTAGGTACAGAGCTGCTTGGATTTACAAAAGTTTGCGCTTCGTACAATATATTTTGAATTTTCATCCGGGCCCACCTCTGAGCTTCCAGAGATGTAACTGACCTCAGTTCATTAGCTACATGTTTACCAAACACACTGCATTGGTCCTCCACAGCAAGTCTGTCAGAGACCCTCTCAAGGCATGACACTGCTTGTACTAGTAAATGTCCACCACTACACTTACTACTACCATCATACCCATCGTGGGTATTGCTACGTGACCATTTACAAGAGCATTCGGTGTCTTTTTCCGCAGGTTTGGATTTTTTGTGACGGGTTGTATCTGCTTTTCCGGTGTACTTTTCAACTACTCTTCTCACAGAATTTCCAAGCCGCTTCCTTTGATTACGAGTATGCTGAAGAGTTCTTGAATCTCTTTCAATGTTTCTTTTAGGTGATGCTGCTATTTCTGCATCAGGAATTCTTTGGCTAAACTCTGGATAAGTAGTTTGTTGACTTAACCTCTCAGGATGAGATCCATCGCAAGCGGATGTTGACGGATGTTCGCTTAATATTTGTTTACTCCTCAATTGCAATTCTGTCAAAATATTAGCTGATGTTGAATCAGAATTTACATACCGAAAACAATTATTAATATTTTCATCAATGATTTGTGACCGTCCTTCTGGCACAATATTTCCAGGTTCATTACACTTTTCTGCCATTCTCTGATTTGATCTTGGACCAATTTGTTTATATCTAGCTTTTTGGCTTCTGCCATCAAACAGATAATCATTCCTGAAAATTCCTGTTGGATAGTTTGAGATGAATCGTGTTGGATCATTTCTAGTGTCAGTTGAATTATCTTGTGAGGCTTCTTCAGTGTCATCTTTTATCCTTTCAATTTCTTCAAGCTGGTTAAATTGATCACTATCTCCTCCAGATACATCGTTCTCTTGTTCATCATTATGAAGAACTTCCATATTTGCCTGACCACTGGTGGGATTGCTGACTTGAAGAGATGGACTGTGAAAGTCCGTCCTGTTAACAGTATGCTGACAGTTGGTTTGATGGTGGAAGTCAATATTGCTAGTCTGCATTAAGTCTTTGTCAGGCTCAGATCCAGGAGACACTGCACTTTGCAATGCTTGTCCATCTTCCAACTGGAAGAAGAAAGAAGTCACAATATTACTGATTACAACAGTCAAAAAAAAAAGTATATGTCATTATGAATTCTATCCCTATATTTTTGTTCCATTGGCTTTGCACACATACAACTAATACAGTGACCTAGCCCTATTTATAGGTACTGTATGTTATAAAACAAATAATTTGTATTTGCGCATGTACAAAAATTATGTTTTCATTAGTTGAAACATTGACTGTTCCATTCAACTCGGCTCTGCCTCCTATGGCACTCGAAAACATTCAATATACGTATACAGTTTTATGATCGCATAATTTTTGGACTGGATTGGATTTATTCGGTGTAAACACAAAGGATAGCCCACGAAAGTCTAGAAGAAGACTTATTTCCAGTGGGGTCCTTCTGGTGGTGATTGGGCAGTACACCGGGATACAATCCCCTACTCTTTTCTGAAGAGCTACTGCCTTCTTTAACGTACACATGGGCCATAAATGCACACAGGACCAAGGGCTTAAACGTCTCATCCGAAAGACGGTGCACTATTATAACTTTTATTTCAGCCCTCCAGCAGAAATACAAGGAGAGGCAGCGATGGGAATTTAACCGGCGACCTAGAGATCTCTACAGTTCAGAGCACACACAGTAGCTACCACCAGATTAGCCGACTGAGCTAAGCTGCTCTTTGCATTCACCATTCTTCAATTTGTATACAAATATTAAATATTTTTAGTTAATGATGTTAAAATACCAAAAAATTTTCAAAAATTATTGTTGAAAGTAACTTATTAGCTTATTTTGAAGTAACATAATTTTAAATTATCAACTTGAACATATAAATTAGTGTATTAAAAAAATGTTCACCCATAATACTACTGCGAAAGCACTGGAAGTGTATTTTTATCACTTTTATCATTATCCAGTCTAAAAATCAGCATACACTCAGTGGCAGACTGTTCTGCATACCCAGGGTTCGAATTTCCCCACAGTACCAACAGCAAGCTTTTTGCTGTTGCATTGTCTGATCCAGACCTGGCAATGGATTTTAAAATTGCATAGAATAGGCTCACTGTATTTTTAAAACAATTTACCAAGCTTGTTGCTGTAAAAGAAGAATAAATTGCTGCAGTAAAGCCACAGCACACATTAACTATTTGCTGATGGAGCATTTTGAGGAAATTCGAACCCTGATACCCAAGCTAAATCGCAGAAGAAAATATTTTGTTGTGTCTTTTCTCCATTTTATTTAGCATTTCTTCTTCAAAATCTTTTATACAACATTAATTTTTTTGAGTTGATTGCTACTTTCATTAGAATGTCTAATAATTATTGATTTGGTATCTAGGATAGTGTCATATTCTCAGCTGCTTAGAATTTCTGTATGATTGGTTTTTTATACCAGCCAATGCCTGAGAATCAATAGAAGTGGGAGCATACCTTATCAATGGTTAAATTTGCTATTCTCCTAACCGTGTGGTTGTGTTAGAATAGCAAATATAATATATTTGCATTTTAACTTTATAGGCTGAATGCAGTCCTTTTTTAGAGTAGGTTAATAAATGGAAATTGTACCATAAGCAGCCCCCAGCATACCCTATTTTACCTTACGGTCCACTACTGTGTACACTACATCTTCTTAAATTCAATAATTCTATGCTCAATTTAATAAATTGTATGTTATGGCAAAATGAGCAAGTTAATTTCAAAATCACTTTTAATGATTTTATTTTGTCATCACTTCCAGGAGACAATACATAATTTAGAATAAAAAATAACAGTGTTTGAAAATAGAGGAAATTTGAGCTACCGGCAGACAACATGTTGCTGGTTTGAGGACCAAGAACGGTTGCAGAAACTGGAGGGAATCTTTTAACCACCAGCTTCCACGGTCCTCTGTACCGCTTAACTCCCGATACTGTTCTTTCCACTTCTCTCGCCACAGCTGAGATCGTATGTTCTTGATTTTACTTGTGATGCTGTTTTCTGCAGGGGGAGAAAAAATGGGAGTTTTTACAAAATACACATAAAAATTTTGTGTGATATATCAATGTCAATATTTGTTGTCTTAATTTGAATTGTGAAAGAAATGAATGTAAAAATATGCCTGTAGCTAAAAATGTGGTTATATACACATATTTTAAATTTGCTTGGCCCTAGGCCTACATGATGAAAGAAAGTTACGGTAATTGTTTAAAGGTAAAAAATGAATAGGCCTAATTAACCAAGGGACAGACCTTTTCCACGAATCGGTAGACATGTTGAAGTGATGACAAACATTGCAAATCAGCGGTGTAACCAACAAAAATAAGATAAGCTTTTAGGCTGATTTTCTGACATCATGTTATTTAAAAAATCATAACTCCATAACAGGACGTCATATCCAAAAAATGTTTCCAGCAAAATGTTCTTATAAGACTAGTCTACACCACTATATGATTGAAAAAAATTGAAAAATGTTTTTAACCTCTGAAATCAAGATGGAAAAAGAAAAGCCTATCTAAGTAGTGTATTAAAATCTTATTATTATTATTATTATTATTTTTGTTGTTTACGCACCTCTGATTCGCAATGTATGTCATAACTTCAAGATGTCTCCCGATTCATGGAAAAGGCCTAATTTTACACACATCGTATTTTTACCGCATCTCATTCATTTTACAGTAGCTTTTGACACCTTACTTCACCTTGTACAAAACTAAGCATCATGATGACAGCGGAGGCCAAGATTTATTCTACACTGTATTCCTAGCCCTAGCTTATTATTAGTAAAAAGTCTAGCCTAAAGCCTGACACAGTTATGCCTGTGCATTGGAATCCCTATTGGAATGTGCCTGTAAGCCAAACCTAGGCCTTGCTTGGTTTAGGCCTACGGAATACGTACCCGAGGTCTGGAGTACTGAAGCGATGTATGAAATGGTCTTTTTTCTTTCACTTCTATCACGGTACAAGTAATGTGATGGGTCGTAAAGACACTGGTTTTGTTGATAAAGACTTACTAAAGCCTCTGTTTTTTCTTTTGACCATTCTAAAGACATTCTTTACTATGTTTATGATTTTTCACAACTTCCTTATTTTTAGTTTTCGGGCCAGCTGCTGCAGTAACAACATGACTGCTGCCCTCTACGACTGTAAACTGACTAGGCCTTGGTCTAGGTCTAGTTGTAACCTTAGGCCTACATTATTATTCGAATAAAATTAAAAAGAATCCAAAATACTGTATTAAAAATGTATCAAAAAAAAAAATTAACGGCTACTTGGGTATTATTTTTGCCAATCTGGTTCATTTGTTAGCGCTGAAACACTTGCAACAAAAAGCATCTAAAGCTTACTTTAAAATTCTCAGAGATATTAATTAGGTCCGTCAGGCCTAATTGTTCCGCTGCTATTAAACTACAGTATTTACAACACTCTTGTCTTACGTATTTTGTCATATGCTAGTGAAGTTTGGTCACCGTGTCTTTTAAGAAATTTGAAACATCTTCATAATAATGGTTCAGCTTCGATGAACTGTTACTTATCAAAATGTGCAAAACCATTTTAGGTGCCGCGATTATTGGCCAACTTGTGTCCTATTTTATTTAATTTAAAATGCTTAGTCTTTCTGCTAAATATTGGCATGATCTCAATAAAAACAATGTAGGAAAGGGTATGTCTCTTGCTGTTAATTCGATGCCTGATAACCGAAACCTGTATCAGAATAATTATGTAGGCCTATTTACCTGGTCATCAGGAGTATTCATTCTTTACTTAATTATTGTAATTTGTTAAATGCCTGGACTAAACCCAGCTCACTTAATGCACCTCATTTAAAGGGTAATGTTACTGACAAATTACATGATGAATTTTGTTCTGGTTGGCTTAGGCCTAATTTATCACTAATAACCAGTTGAAAATGCTTTAAATATTTTAAAAACACATTTACCAATGAAAATTATTGAAATTTCTTTGATATCGATATGCGTTGCAACTTTACTACACTAAGTACAAGTGTTCACTTCCTCATGATTTTGAGAAGGGGCGCCATACTTCTCTAGTTTCTCCTCTTTCCAACAGAGTTTGTACTTTTGTGTTACAAATGAGATTGAAGATGAATTTCATTTTCTTATCAAATGTTCCTTTTATTCCGATTTTCGTAATGAATTATTAAATTCAATTAGTGAAGGAGCATCACATTTTGTTAATTTAAATGATTTTGATAAATTTGTCGTCTTAGTTGATGCCCATGTTTCTGATATTCTTCTTCCAGTTGTTAAGTTTGTTAATCATGCTTTTAAGAGACGCGATATCTAATGCTTGTCTTTTTCTTCCTTATTTTCACTGTAATTTTGTCTCTTGTTGGTGTTGTTTTTTTTGTCATTTTTGATGTTCATTTTTATCAAGTATGTTTTTTGATAATAAAATAATTTTAGGTGACAATCCCTTCACATAACACATTTTTATATTTATTTTATTTTATTCCTTTAGGCACATGGCCAAGGATCACCTTTAGTGACAATAATCACTGTCCTAATAGGCTGGGGCAGATGCAGGGGGTGCAGACGCAGATCGCTCTTCCCTATGTTAACATATTAAAAAAATAATTGTTGTATTGTATTGTTGATATGAATTACCGGAAAGATTTTAGGTTATGAGAATGCAATTTCCGGGCACCTAGGGGTCCACATTGTCAAACTTTTTGCACCTCAGCCCGAAACATGTTGAGGCCGTGTGGACTCTAACGCATCCCTACAGCAAAATCCTGCATCCGCCACAGATAGGTGGCAATCCCTTCACATGACAAACATAATACTGTATACACATGATGCTCTACACATAATGTAAATCTAATACATAGCGAGACTTATGGTGTGGAGTTTGTCATTTTTAGCAATACAATCTATATACTATACTATGACGTGGAAAAGAATGAGTGTGGTAAAGTCAGCAGAAGCACGGTAGTTAGAGGTCTCCAGTCCAAACGGTATTTCATCGTTTGAACTCTCAGGAATACTTGACAGAATACAATTAATCAAACTTGAGCTTTAAAACGCGTTGAATTGTGTTACTTTAGCAGATTTAAAGTATAATGTTTGCCATGTTGACTGGAGTACGAATCCCAAGTTAAATTACCTTGATGAAACCCACATTTATTTAGGATTTAAGTCTTCCACCAATTTGACCATGGATTCGAAAAGGGGTACAAGAAAAAAAGAGTTTATTAGTAAGAATTGGGTTGTTATGGTGCAATTAAAAGAAAGTCAGAATATTGAACAGAATGGAGGGATCTATGAAAACTAACTCATCATACAAGGAGCTACTGCAATAAGCAGAATACCGATGATGACATTACGGTAACCAGATCACTAATTAAGCAAACATACTGTAATATGTTCCATAAAATGTTCATGAACTTCAACGATGTAAATTGGTATGCGTAAGTACCTGTTCGAAATTTAGATCATAATATAGAAGGGCGGGTGGGTGGATTTGTAGAGGTTAAGGCGACACATTATATTATACATACAGCTTCTTTAAGAAATTCATGATAAACAAGTGGTCATGTAAAACACACGTCGATTTTACCTTGCTGAGAATAACTTTAACAATCGTCGACGTAAGTTAAATAACGTAAAAAATAGAAAACGTTCCCCGATCTCTTATTCCAAAGGAAAGGGAAGCACAAATTATAAAAAAAAATGAGTAAATGCTTCCACCAGTCCCTCTGCAAGTTCCTATATAGCGCCCCCTATCAGTAGTAAATGTTTTGTGTTTTATCCATAGAGCTATTAAACAACTTATTATATCTCTATGGTTTTATCCATAGAGATATAATAAGAATACTAGAGTCATCTTGTCAGCACTCTAGTTGTTTAATAGCTCTATGGTTTTATCGAAGAGTATAAAACTGCAAGAGGTCCCACTGCCATGATTTTGTATGCAGGCAATGGAACGTTAAACCAGAACCCTGCGGGTGTATACCTTCCTTTGTACGCAAAATCTAAACACAAATTTGGGAACTGCGATAATTAATAGTCACTAAATTCAATCATTGCATTTTGCCAAATTTGAAACTAATCTAATTTAGTTATTGTGGTATGGTAACAAGCAGCGACTTTTTTCCCTTTTGAAATAGAGTAAAGTAACGAGCAAGTACACAAGAAACTAGATCTCGAAATGATACATTGCATTGTTTAGCGTCACATCTCAAAAAAAAAAATTAAAAAAAAAATCGCGGGGAGGGGGGGGGGTTTAATTTTACTTTCCCGCATATCAATATTCTTTTTGCACCCATCATAATAAAACTTGTTTTAACTAAATATGACAAGAAGTCTTTAAACGAATTACTTACAGGGGCGGATCCAGGATTTGAAAGAAGTGGGTTCAAAATGTTTCTAAAAACTCCAAAATTAAAAGGGGGGTTTTGGATTCTAAATTTAAAAAAGTATGATAAACCGATTGACGAACTTGCAATGATAATCTGCTCTACTAGCCTAGGCCCTCTAGGCCACTTAGTTATTATTATCCCCTTAATCAATCATGCTAAAAAAAAAAACTAGGCCAACATTTCCTAGGCTAGCCATGTTTAGTATATAGTCTCCCCTACCCCTCCAATAAAAAAAAAAGCCCAGCCCTAGGGCCTAGGCCTAGGATAGGCCCCTAGCGAAAATTAAGACAACTTCCTAGCCTACCTTAGGGCCTAGTAGGCCTATCGATGAGTATAATATAGCCTAATTCATAAAATTTAAAAACATTTTTTTTGCGGGGGCCAACCTTCCTTTGCATAACTTGCATCTTGGTGACCTACTACAAACTTGGATGTGCTTTCTTTTTCGAAAGCTGCTATGAGAGATGCTACATCCAACTCTGTGTCCGCAACAAGTGTCTGGACCACCCCTTCTTCATTGTTGTTTTTCTCTCCTGGACCTCCTACTTGTTGTGGGCCTACTTCTTGTTTTTTGACAGTATCACAGGTAGCAGGCCTAGGTCCATCTTCTACACGGCGATTTTTTTTTTTTCCGGAATAAAATCATCGTCGTCATCGAATTCCATTATTAGTAAATTTATGAAATAATTGCAACAAAAAAACTCTAGATTTGGTAAATGGTGTAATATTTTACCGCACTTGAAAAGTTTACGCAAGCTTGGAACTTTACCTTATAAATATTCATGCGAAATTGCCATCCTGTACGTTGATTAATATTCATGAGTCAAAATTCGCTGTAGCGTAACGTGAATATTAAACGAGTCAAATATGACCGGGAATTAAGTCACAACCGTTCAAAATGTTTCTAAAAACTCCAAAATTAAAAGGGGGTTTTTGGATTCTAAATTTAAAAAAGTATGATAAACCGATTGACGAACTTGCAATGATAATTAGGCCTAGTTACATTAAATTTAGCATTTTCGTAACGCAATTGGCGCTCCATATATGTGTTGAAAACAAACCACTACCGAAATGAAGCGCGACCGAAATGACCAGTATTCCTAATACTGACGTTATCGCGATGAAAACAAAATGTCGGAAAACTTTTTCCAAACGCATGCGCAAATCAAATTTGGACTAAAAAACGACTCAAAACTGGTGGTAGGGGGTATATGTTTCATCGCGTACAGCTTACATTTTCTATCTAACCGAAAAAACAAACATTTCTCACACAATTACATGTCCACCAGTACCTCTTGGGCATCGTTTAGGAGCCTATTTGTTTACAGACATACAGACAGGTTGTTGCCATACATACACACACACATTTCACATCTGTATCATCCCAATAGTTCAAACGGCTGTTAAGGCCATGCCCCTTTTGGGTAGTACTTTTTGAAATAGGATTGCATTCTAAAGAATCCCCAGTAGTGGGACCTCTTTCAGTTTTATACTCTTTGGGTTTATTTTGGAGAAGACTGTAAATCATGCTGGTTTATTTTCTAAAGAATGATTTAGAAAAATATTACTAAATATAAAATGACTGATAACCACCACCATATACTTATCAAGAAATTTATTTATATAAATTTGGCAGGACATCTTTTATCGTAAATAATCAATACATACAGAGAAAATTAAGTGGATCTACATTCAAGGAGTTTGTTTAAATTATCTAACATTATCGTATCACCATATAAATCAACCTAAATTAACGCCTTCACTTGATACATTAACTGACTTACCCCCTCTAGATACATAAATTGACGTACCCCCTCTATTGACTACATCCAGAAAACATAAGTAAATAACTGCAGTGTTAATCCAAATCATATTTAGGGAGCAGATAACATTTCACATTTTATTTTAAGGCAGATCATAATTTTAAATTACATTTAATAAATTCATGTTCAATTTGCTCTGCCAGTTTTTACACTAAGAATACATGTTTTCGTTGTGAATAATAATAATATTACATTTTCGTCGGTTATCATTCGACCCTGGTTAACATAAAATAGCACTCGCTTTCCCAAAACACAACCAACTTTATCACAGTGCATCTCAAATTTATAGAATGATCCATAATGAGTTAATAATGATCCAAATTTTAGCCAGGCTTGTTCATGTCCATGGATTATCTGTGTGCACACAGATCATATCACAACACAGCGATTATCTGTGTGCACACAGATCATAGCATATCACGACTATCAGTGTGCACACATTTCATATCATATCATATCACAATGATTAGCTGTGTGCACACAGAACATAGCATAACATAATGATTATCTGTGCGCACACAGATCATAGCATATCACGACTATCAGTGTGCACAAATATATCATATCACAATGATTATCTGTGTGCACACAGATCATAGCATACCATAATGATTATCTGTGTGCACATGTATCATATCACAATGATTATCCATGTGCACATAGATCATAGCATATCACGACTATCAGTGTGCACACATATATCACAATGATTATCTGTGCGCACATGTATCATATCACAATGATTATCTGTGTGCACACAGATCATAGCATATCACGACTATCAGTGTGCACACATATATCACAATGATTATCTGTGTGCACATGTATCATATCACAATGATTATCCGTGTGCACACAGATCATAGCATATCACGACTATCAGTGTGCACACATATATCACAATGATTATCAGTGTGCACACATATATCACAATGATTATCTGTGTGCAAACGTATCATATCACAATGATTATCTGTGTGCACACAAATCATAGCATAACATGATTGTGTACACACAGATCATATATCATGATTATATGTGAGCACACAGATTATAGCATATCATGTCATATCATAATTTTTATCTGTGTACACACAGATCATATCATATAAAAAAGATAATCTGTGTGCACACAGATCATATCACGATTATATGTGTGCACATTGATCATAACAACACAATTGTTTATTGCTACAGCATAAAACTTAAACCTTACACAGACTGCAGCAAAACCATATCTTGGCTTTACACACTTCTGTGCATCATATTTACACACACCATATTAATGCGTATACATATCTACATAATGAATCATATATGCACATTAACATAGCGTGTGCATGTAAATAATAATAATATGCCTATATCACATTTACGTGTGCGTGCTAATTTGAACATATGAATCGTATGTACATATATGTGCACAGACACACCATGTGTACACAACCACAATTTACATATGCATGTGTGAATACATTTTTTTTAGGTTAATCTCAAGGTAGTCCATATTCTTTTTAAAAATGTGAAGTGCACATGGGTTTAATGTGTGCTCAAAAATCCATAGCACTGTTTACAAACATATTCATGTGTACATATACGGCATGTCCAGAACAATAATTTACATACGTTAATCTGAATGTAATCCATATAAAAACATTGTGAAATGGACATGAGGTTTGTGCCTTAAGAAATACAGTACACTGAAAGATACTAAAATAGTTTGAGAATAAAATATGTTTAAAAGCATTCAATGTTACCATTGTTCTTATGAAATATTAGCACATAAAACAAATGCAGATACATACTTTAAGTTTTTGGATTAAAATAGTGTACATCTAAAAATGACCAAGCCAACTTAAGCTTATAAATTATGAAAACACAACTGACCAAGTGGCAATCAAATACTAGTTAGCTTCTAGACCTCTTAATACCATGAGTTCCGCTTCATTCTTATTGTTAAAGGCATAGCCTGTCCTTGAGCATAGCCTGGCAGCCTAGCCATAAACACTGCTTGGCGGCTCAGCTCAACCATATAAACATGGCCTATAAGCCAAGTGGACATGGACTAGTCTTACAGATATTTAAAAACCAAGCAGACTAAAAACCTTTTAATGCAAATGATATCTAGGATCAGTTATCTATAGTACATCCAACAACTCCTAAATTACATTGAAGTCATTCTGACCTTTAATGTTCATCCAACAGCACCAATTCTTTTAAAAAAATTATGATATTTAATACATAAATCCTACTAATCACCATAAAACCCTAGTTAATCCCAAGCTGTACCCTGAAGCATAAAAAAGTGAATAGCGAATGCAATACCAGTAAGATTATTGCATTTATATGGATTAGAAAACAGTCCAATGTACCTAATGTCCTACAAAAATAAAATTCACCCCAAAATAAATGTCTTTTTTTAAAAAAGAGAAGTAAGATGCCCACTTTTTGGAGTACCAAGAATGAAAAATCATTGACGTTTATTTACATATATGTGAAACACTATCAACCAGTTAATCCATCACACGATGTTAAGCAGTTTTAGAACCTACCGCATTTTGTTAAACTACATTGTACAGATTCTGATTTGTAACAGCATTCTGGCCACTAAAATGTACAGTTTCTAGACTTTACCTGGCAACCATTTTATCAACAGTGACAGATATTTTTTCTTTATTTATTTAAAACATAATGAATGGACTTCTTTGCAACTTTGCAGTTCATATTTTTGGAAATCATTTGCTGTCTTTTTAACATCATTTTCTTTCCAGGTTATCACTCCTTAAGGACCTACGACCTTCAATCCATTCCCACGGGATTAACTTAAAACACTGATGAAATCAGACATTTTGCAGAATTTAGAGTACAGTTATAAAAATCAAGCAGAATAAGGCTCAGTTTATAGCATTTTCTTTATACAAGAACGTTTCATGAAAGTTTTACAATTTCATGCAGTCTTTTTTCAAAATTAATTTTAATTCATGCAGCAGATTCATTTCTTCATATTGTTCATCTCCCTTCCACACTTGCAGTTGTACTTCCCAATTTTTTTGTTTTTTTTTGTAGATTTACTTCACAATATCAATGCCGAGTGTCTTGTTAAGAATCGACTTTGCTACTAAAGGTGGCACTTCCGAGGACTTCAATCCATCTAAAGAAAAAAAAAAACACTTTTTGACTGAGAAACTTATGATCATGTACTATATGGCAAAATAAAGTAAATTAATAGGTAACAGGATCGGATTGGATTATTCAGTGTAAACACTAAGGATAGCCCACGAAAGTCTAGAGGAAGACTTATTTCCAGTGGGGGTCCTTCTGGTGGTGATTGGGCAGTACACCAAGAGACGATCCCCTACTCTTTTCCGAAGAGCGTACTGCGTTCTTTAACGTGCACATGGGCCATCAATGCACACGGGACCAACGGTGCGCTATTGTAACTTGTATTTCAGCCCTCCAGTTGAAATACAAGGAGATGGGAATTGTACCGGGGACCTAGAGATCTCAATGGTTCAGCGCACACACAGTGGCTACCACCAGATTAGCCGACTGAGCTAAGCTGCTTTCTGTAATAGAAATATTGGAAGTACTATTGTACAAAGTATCAACTTTCTGTTTGTTGGATTGGCACCAAGGACAAATTTCCAGTGGGGTCGTTTTGGTGGTGAACTGGACGCGGCGTGAACTGGACAGTACACTGTGAAACAATCTCCCACTCTTCAAAACAGTGTATATATATATTATATATATTTTTTGGAGTCACTGGACAGTATTTCAGTAAACTTTTGGTAATCCTGTCTAGCAGATTTATTAAAAATTTGTATTGTTTTTTGTTTTTTTTGTATATAATTGAGACAGATCATGGAGTAAGAAACAGACAAACTAAATAAAATAAAAATATATTGTAAAATTACAATAAATACAAAGAGAAACCAACTTTTTTATTTCCTTTCTCTTTCATTTTTATAGTTTCAAGTCAGCATTCCCATATCTATATGTTTGCAAGGCACCTAAATAGCACCAAGACATCACCCGTCACTGAGGAAAACATAAAATTGATGTATTATTTCTTACCTTCCATAGGTGTATTCACTTTCTGCTCGAAAGAAGTAAACATGAGTTTTAAACTGGAGTTTGAAAACATAGTCCTTCTTGATATCATCACTCTCTGAAGGTTGCTCAACTGTGTATCCTAACAGTGGCAAGCTAGCCAATGGGTAGTCATCCTACATGTGTTGAAAGGGCAATGATTAAAACATATTCAAAATCTGATTTGGCTTCATTGGTGTTTACAAAGTTTGATAGCAAACAAATGGATAGGAAAGTTAGGTTGTCAACACAATAATTATTATAATTATTATTATTATTATTATTATGTTTATTATTATTATTATTATTATTAACTGATCTATCTGAAGAGACTTTAATACATCTGATCATCTGACAAATTGTTCAACATTCCACCCATTAAAAGAACTGCAATACATTAGTCTCACCATCATCTTAGGATATGAATAAGTAATGAATGGATGGATATATTCGGTGAAAACACCAATGATAACCCACAAAAGTCTGAAGAAGACATATTTCCAGTGGCGTCCTTCTGGTGGTGATTGAGCTCCACCGGGAGACAATCCAGTTCTCTTTTGTAATGCATTCTTCAACGTGCACATGGACCATAATGCACACTGGACCAACAGGTTAAACGTTTTATCTGAAAGACAGTGCGCTATGATAACTTGCACTTCAGCCCTTCAGTTAAAATACAAGGAGAGCAGCGGCGAGAACTAAACCAGTGACAAGAGATTTCTACGATTTAGCGCACAGAGTGGCTACCCCAGTTTAGTCGACAGAGCTAAGCTGCTCGCATAAAACTGCTACACATTATTGCTGACTGCTGATTGAGAAACAATCTTAAAATAAAATCTATTTTATTATATGTATTTAATAGAGAACTGACATGCATTACATCTTTTTTAGTTTACTTGATATGTTTCATTCTTTATCAGAGAATCCAAAAACGTACCTGATAACTTTTATAAAAGAAGAGGCAGAAATTGGTAAAAACAACCCAGAGTTTCTGCCAACCATTGCTGTTTTTGAATTTCCTCAACAAGTATCCACTCAATTGATTCTACAAAATAAAATAAAGCGTAAATTCAAGCAAATGACTAAACAGGTCACCAGCCAATTTTCAGTGTGAACCCACTTAAAATTTGGCAAGGACCACAACTGCTGTGCCTGTTGGCTAGATATATCTCAATCCGTGATCTTAGCATGTGCATCTGACATAAAATGCAGCTAGACATTTTTACAAGATAGAAAATGAGATAATAGTGAACTAGTTGCTGTCTATGAAATGCTAAGATTAACCAAGCTTTATTTTTGTAAACAAAAAATGTATTGTAATCTGTATTGCATTCTTTATTGTTTTAATTATAAGTGTCAGATGTAAATAAGAGAGTGCTACACCTTACTGCAATTTATGTTCAGCTTATTTATATCGTTATACACTACAATAATAATAATATTCTTTAATGATCTCAGATTGAGGCATGGGGCTATTTGGGCTCGTTAAGCAAAACAACTGGTGCACCTGAAAAAAACCATTGCCAAAAACCAATGTTTTCATTTACCAATAAACTCTAGACTCCAAATTCTGAAATTTATTATATTTACCTCAACGGCTCTTTGATGGTCAGCCATACTGACGCTGGTGTTTCGGTGCCAGCATACGTGAACGGTGGTGTTGGCGCGGTGATGAGCAATGCGGTCCAAGGAGCCTCTCGGTGATGAATGTTCCTCCTCCGATTCATCAAACACGGGGTCTGGGTCAAGTGTACCTATAAAATTAGTAACAAGAATATTTGAGCAATTTTTCAGGGGTCGCAAGTCGCACAAGTATCCCGGATATCAGGATGGTCTTTCGCACTCCTGTAAGGAAGCAGGAATCTTCCAGAAAATAATATAATCTTCCATATCATATTATTTGCATGTTTTTACTACTTTAGTATTAATTGTCTAACAGAAATCAGTGTCGATAGGTATCATCATGCACAGCAAAATATATTTAGATGTGTTAATAGAAAGCTCATTAAATAAGATCTCCTGGAAGTGACTTTTTTTAACTTGGGACCCCTGTTATTTGAAAAAGGCTTTAGGCTTCTTCTTCTTACATGAATAATGTGCAAAAAGTGTTCTTTTTAAAATGTATATTAAGTGATTACATAAGTGCTGACAATTATTCTTACCAACTTGTGCTGTCTTATCTCCATGTTCTGAAATTAGAATGCCTGTGTTGATGTCCTACCAAAGCAAAAACACAAACAAATGGTGAAACCATGCAGCTAATACTTTAAGAAAATGAAAATAATTTTTTTCGGTGTGAACCTAATCAAAAATTTGGCAGGGACAGGGTCTGCTAGCTAGCAGGCTATCTATTGATCTGTGATCTTAGCATGCAGGTAGGACTAGCATGCGGCTAAACATTTTCACAAGATAAGATGACTGTGGATCCAGCGTTTCCGTCAAGCTGCTTGTGGTTCCATATCTGTCCACATTATCAAATTTTCTTTGACAAAATGTTCGTGCTGAACAGGTTTTGACTCTAAGCTCTATGATGTAGAAGACGATAATCACATAAAGAATAAAGTAGTATGCCAATATATTGTCATGATATGCCTACATATGGTCATGATGTAATACCATCATGACCATATTTAGGCATGTCACATGTTTTTATTTGACAGTCTGGACAGAGTTTTATAAATGCTAGCTTTAACCAAAGCTATAATTTGTAAACAAAAAATTTGTTTTGCGATCAGTATTGTATTCATTATTGTCTTAATTATCATAAGTATCAGCGCCTCTTTAGAAAGCAGTGCAAATCACTGATTGAAATCACTGAAATAAATATTAAACCACCAAGTTGTGATTTAAAGTTGAAACCTACATGCATCCATCTTTGCTTTTCTTCAGGTGTGCTTGCTGCTATGACAACCGGCTTATTACTGCCGGTGATCGTGAAACAATTTGTCATTTGACGATTTTGCTCATCCTCGACCTGAAAACACATGAACACAAATAATAGCAATAAATTTTAAATAGCAAAACAATAATGAAAAATCTTCCGGAAGTTGCCATCCGTCTCCGCTCTGGCGCAATAATAATTATAACAGTAGTAATAATAATACATGAATTTATACCACCCCTGTTGCCAAGGGATACAAGACGCAATAAAAATAAATAAAAAAGGTAACAATTATAAAGTATGAGCAAATACAAGTATAAAATAAAAAGCATGCACATGAAACCATTTTCTTCTTCATACTGATATGTATTTTGTAGAGTGAAAACTCTCTTCCCGCTCCCATTGAAAAAGCCCTATCAATTTCACGAAATGTCACCTGAAAACATCATTGCTTCAGTAAAGGGTTTTTTGGTTGAAAATGGGTCTAATTTGTATTAAGCTAACACATTTTTAGTATTTGTCACTCATATTATGAGTTGTTTTACCTTGCGAGTGGAATAAATTGAATATTGAATAATACAGTAACAATATTATTATTATAAATTGCAATAGCATAAATAATGGCAATTATAACAATCACAGTACTTATAACAAAGAATATATATATTGAATATTGAATAATACAGTAATAACATAAATATTAATATCAGAAATTAAAATAACATAAATAATGGTGATTATAACAATCAGAATACTCATAACAATGAGTATGACAACAGTATTTATAAGGACAAAGATGGTGCTAGCTGTTATGACCCTGAGAACAATCAATAATAACCAAAACAAAACTGTAAGAATACAAACAAAATTGCAAGATTCTTTACCTTAATTCCCTTTAAAGGTATTTGTCCGTGAACTTTGAACTGATTGGTGGGTGTAAGTCCTTTGCTGGAGTACATCAGAGTATCGGAGAACAGGAAAAACATTCGCTGCTGGTACCCTTTGCGTGATAATTTATGAAGACAACCTTCCCGAAGAAACTCCTGTAATGAAAATGAGAATGAAATATAGCTTACTAGGTATAAACTTAATGCTGTGTAATTTAAGTTGTCTAGTCTTATATACTAGATAGCCTTTTTAATTAGATCATCCAGCTAAAGGCTGGTTTTTGTTAAATGAGGTAATGGGACACAGTAACAGCATGCAGTAAAAAAAAGCAATAGTAATTGTGTAATAATTATGACAATTTCATATGTGCTTCAAACTTTCCCCCAGGGGGTCAAAGTTGGAAAAAGCCACTTCTCAGAGATTTGGTTAAATGAGCCTTCTTAACAAATTTAATTTTACTTTGTTGCACGTGGTGATACGTATTGGCACTGACTTCTAAGAGACAATTGAAAATACAGTGCTGTAGGTAAAACATGCAAATTTGCAGGAGGTAGTATACTTTCAGGGGAAATTCATACCTGTTTGCAGGACTGCGGGAGGCCGCCTAGGGACTCTTGCGACAGAGGCTTTAAAAGCCAAGACTTGGGTTACAAATTAAAGTAAAAGCTTACCCAATGAAAGAAAACAAAAATAAATAAATAAATAGGCAGTTTAATCTTACCCTGCCTGGAGCGACGAGGTTGTCAATACCAACGAGATCTCGCCTTAGTTCTGTCAATTTTTGGAAATTCTCGATCCTCTGCATATTCTCTTTAACATCACAAGACAATTCCGATATCTCAGCAAGTGCAGCTGTAAGAAAATAATTCATCTTATTTACTATTTCATTCATCTATTCACTTATATAATTATTTATTATAGTCTGCAAAAATTTTGATAATACTTTCTTTAAAAAATATTCTAAGAAACTTTAAAGTGTCTGAAGTGTTTAATGATTGTATTAAATGGTATTGATTCCTAATAAATTCAAGCTCAAATGATGCTGATAGAGTGTGAAACTTTGGACAAAATGATGTCTCAATGACATAATCAGGTTGTTTCAGAAAAACTATCACTTTAAAGGAAGTGTCTGAAGTGCTTATTGATTGCTGTGATATTTAGTGCCATGAAGTTCAAATCAGACTAAACCACACTTTCAGACTAACGAAACAGAAATACACATGTTGAGTGTTTATCACCGTAGGTAATATGTCATGTTTAACTTTTTTTTAATTGCACTCAACAAAATTTCACCTGTGGCAGTGGGATGTTGACAATGAAAAATGATAACTTAATGCCTTAAAATAGAAGGGGGGAATAGAAGAAGAATAATTTTTGTTACATCGTTATTGTACGGCCTTGAAAAGGTTATACCCTTGCAGCAAGTGATTTATTAATGTATCAATTCAATAATGTTAACTTTTTCCATGAGATAAATATTAATGAAGTCTTGTATAGCATATTGCAATGAAGTGACATTGAGAATTAATGAAGGTGTATTATAAACCTACCTTTACAATCTTTGAAGTCTGGGTGGTTTTGTGGATAATGTTTCACAAGCCCTAGAAATTAAATAGAGGAAATTATCTAGTGTTGATTTTATGAGGATTTTTATACATTTCACCACACATAGTTAGTATTTAAATTAGATGGTCACAACTCTATTACAACAAGACATTTGATTGATCAATGTGTACAGCATGAGTAACTTGAAATTTAGGTCTTTTTACGATATACATCACAAATCTTTTTTTTATTTATTTATTTAGGTATGGTAAAAAGCACAAAAAGCTGAACTAGCCTAAAATTATAATTATTGCAGTACAAAAATTCAAGAAAACCAAATACATACATCAAATCCACTCAAACAAACATCAAATTTCAAACATCAGAATCAATACACATCAAAAATTCATTGCTACAAATAAAACTTAATGTAAATTAATACAACATTTAAAAAATATATTCATACAGTATAAAAATATATATTTACAACTTCATCATGTTATGAAAACATAAAATATATACAGTGTATATAATTACAGTACTGTACAATATTGCAAATAGTTACAATTCTATAATGAAATTCTATTTCTAATTAAATATTGATTATTTGTCACTTACGTTCTAGTACGACCCGGTAGTGGAGTAACCTTTGAACTGGTTTAAGTAGGAATGTGTTAAACGGCAGGTAACACACCTTCTGCAGCTCAAAGTCTTTGTAGAAGTGCTCAAACTTCTTGTTTTTCTTGGTGGCAACCTCGAGTTCTGTGATAATCTGCTCAATCTTCTCTATGTAACTGGTGTACAACTGTTATAAATTAATGTTCAATATTTTATATTTTGTAATATGACGATAGAATATTAACAAATCAATTCACAAATCCAGCCAGTTCTGGAGAAACTCTAAAAACTGCGGGATTGCTGCATACAAACAAGACAATAGTTGGTGGGATTCAAAATTTGTTTTAAATTACAAATCTTTTTTATCTAAAAACATATGTTGATTTATCAGTCATTTTGAATATTATTAATTTATTTACTTATGTTCAAGTATATGTATTTAGATATTTTTATATGGTATTTATTAGCTCATTGTTTATTATATTTACTTGTAAGTAAATATAATAAACAATGAGTTAATAAATATAATATATGGTATTTATTAACTCATTGTTTATTATATTTACTTACAAGAAAATTAATAGTTTCAATTTAATATTTAGAATTATTTATTGATTTATCATTTGTATATATATTTTAAGAAGTTCGCAATGTAGACAGACACAATGCAGTAACAATTTGGCTAGGAGTGAAATTCCAACTGCGTTTCCAATTTGTTGAATGCCCACGTCCCTATTCTTACACAATGATCAAATTTTCTGATTGGATCGCTAAGCTTTCCGATCAAAAAATTTGAATTTGGTGTGGAATGCCCCTGAGAAATGTTGGGAAAACACTAGCAAGAAGTGCGAGACATAGTAAATTAATGGTAAACTTACCTTTAAGTTTTGAATATTCTTCAACATTACATCACCAATTCGCTGGTAATTCCCCTTGAGGTGTGCATTTGATCTTCCCTCCCTTTAAACAAAGCACAGTGAAAAATCATGGTGAGTAAACATGAATGCGTTACAATTGATTTATCGCTAACATACATTTTTCACTAAGTATTTACAATCAACTCTTTGTTATTTTCATTGCAAATGCTAGGGATACAGTTACAGATATCAGTGCAAGGTGGCTGATCTAATTGTATAATATCAAGGCTAATAGCTGTGTAGGTCAGGTGTTCGATGATTTAGGATTACTTGCATGCAATTTTATTTATGACGATGTAATGATGTTGTTGCTGATAATGATATGTTATACTTCTTAAATAGATTTCAGATAATGATAAATGATTTATGGGGATGATGATAAACAAGATGATGATGATAATGATGCTGATGATACTGAGAATGATGATGAGGATGATGTTGATAAGGTGCAGGGGTGGATCATTAGGGGGGCACAGGGGGAATGTGCCCCCTATTTTGCCACTAAATTTTAAAAATTTCAAAGCAAATCAATGTTATGTGCTACTCACTTATCTCTTCTAAAACTCCCCCCACCCCAATTTGAAAAAATCTTGATCCGCCACTGAGGTGGATGACAATAATGCCATATTCATGATGATCATCTGCATATACTCATTATTGAAAAGCAGAGTTCCCTCAGCATCCGTGGTTGGATCCCCTCCTTAAAGCATCTAACCAAATTATATACCTTGTGTTGCATACAGAAAGTTATACTAGTACAATATTTAAATAAATAAAATCATAGGTAAATAAATAACACCTAATGCCCTTGCAGATTGACAAAAACACCGACACACGTACCCCAGTACTCTGTCAGTATCTATTCAGATCTCAATTGTGAATATGTTGATGACCATGGCTATTCGGATACTGATGCAGAGGGTGATACACAAGATGAGGACGAGGTTATAATGAGGTTGAAAATTATTTTTAGCACTTACCATGTGGCAAGCCTTTGTTCAACCTCTTTCAGAAACTTGCAATGGAAATCATAGATTGGATCAAGATTACTAAACAGTATTTCAAGGATTTCAGGTAAGTTACTCTCATTGGTCACTGCTTTTCTGAACCACTGAAAAAGAATTTAAAATAACCAATCAGATTGATACATATTAATCAACTAATATCCATATAAAGTATATAATGCATATTTATATATATTTCATAGTGATTACCCAATACGAGGCTTTTGAAGTCAATCTCGGCAATGAGTTTAAATATTAAGCACAAAGTGGTAAATATATTGAATTTAAATTGGTGAAAAAAGCAGGAAAACAATATAAAAAATTACTGGTAAAATAATCCAGATGGAAACAGGACGAATTTGGAAAAGTCACAGTCTAAACTTTTGTTTATATTAGCGTAAATGAATAATATGTTAAGGAACAATAAGTATGCATTGCAAAGGTATGGCGATATGACTACAGGTATATAACGACAAAAACTAACGAATAAAAAGTTATATGTATATATAATATAATAATTATATCACCTTTTCTACATATTGTATTTGCAACAACATATTACATACAAAAATAATAAAAATAAAACAAAATAAAAAAATAAATAATTAAAAAAAATAATTGAGCTAAAAAAAATAATTAAAAAAAATTTGTATTTTGAATTGCTTAAGTTTGAAAATTAAATTTAAATTTAGTTATTAGCTTTTAATTGAACATTAGAACATAAAAAAATGCTGATCAATTGCATAATGCTTTAAATAAGTGGGTAATCAATTTAAAGATTGCCATAGAAAAATAACCTTACCATCAGTGAAAATGTGGCTCATTACTTACTAGATCCTTTTAATAAAACAATACAGAATTTATATAAATATTTTTATGTTATTTTGTTCCAAGAATTCACTACAAATGGAATATATTTAATGCTATTCTTTCCAAAAACAAAATATTTTAAAATCATTTTTTTTGATGTATATTGTTTTTAAAACTACAGCTTTACATGTTATTACTAAGCCTTGTTCATGAGCTATTTTAATCTTACCACAGGCTCTGACCTTCAAGGTGCCTAGACATATTAAAAGGCAGTTTTTATTTCTGCAGTTTTCATGCAACAGTGACAGCATTCAGAGAATAATCAACCTTGATGGAGACTTTGCTGTTGGCAGGTAGTCAACAATGAGAAATACATGCAAAAGAACTTTTATATTCTGTAGGCATGAAGTGGTTAAGGTAATATATTTTTGAAGAGATGTAAGGCCAAAAAAAAGCATTTCCCACCTCCACCTTAAAATTTGTTTGCGTCCGCCTATTTCTTTTTACCTTTATGAGACCAAACACACCCGGAAAATCAATCCTGTACTATTGGCATGTCTTTGTAGGCATTATGCAGTATGGTTTTGTATTATAATTTTGAAGTGAGGTTTTGTATTATAATTTTGAAGCGACATAAATCCAAACAAAACATTTCTATACACTTGATCATATTTTTTCTGCCTGCTTGTCTATTTTTTTTAAATTTACATTATATATGAGCTTTAAACACCATTTCAGCAATGATTATCCATTGGCATCTATCAGCTGGCATAATTACACCTAGATATATTACTATACTCACAAACTCAAAACCTTATTATCAAAGTATAAATTAACATACAATGAAATTGATTCGGCTTAAGTGTTCAGCATATAGTAACCATTAATTAAAGAAAAACCAAATAAATATTTTATATATATACAGTATCTATGTGCAAAAAAAAATCTTAACCACTTGTTATTTATTGCTCTAACGGCCGAGAGCCAGACGGCATAAAACAGAAAAAATTTATTATGGTGTACTTTTCATGATGTATTATGATGTATTATTATAATTATTTTATTATGATGTATTTTTATAATTATTTTTAACCCAAAAATGTAACAGAGAAAACAAATCTTGAGACATTGTCACGACAATAAAGAATAGCTGAATCTGAATCTGCATTACTAGATTGTGTGTGTGTGTGTCTCATTAAAGAGGAAAAATGGAAAGGAGGGGTGCACCTCCTGATTTTATTATCTTCAAAATTCTTGGACTAGGACCAAATTGGCTGGCAATCAACTTTTGTCGTAGAGTAACAAGTCAGCATTTGACAACATTTTGACATTTTTTATTTTTGTCATCTAGAAGTTAATATCTTATTTGATCCATTTAATGAAACAACTGAATATTTTATTTTATTTTAAGGGTTTTTCTATATTTTAATAAGTGGGAGACACTTTTCTAGGATGTATACAAGTATACAAGCCTTGGCCCCTAATAAAAGCAAGCAGATGTTTTACAATGATAAGATACTTTAAACTTGGATCACTACCAAATTTATTACGAAACCTGAGGAAACCGTTACAACATCATTAGAAGCAGGAAAAATTCAGATAAGAGCATTATAAATTGTAGATTAAATATCTACAGACTTACAGGTAAGAGCACTTGTGAAAACATTTATATATACACCTCTTTTTCAATACTAATATCTATTATTTAAATTAATCTTCTACTTCCTTCAAATCAAGTAGTGCGAACAGAAATCAGTAACAAACGGTACTCTCTAGAAATTAGTGACAGTCATTACTGAGCCTTAGCTAATTTCATTTCATTTTATTCACTATTTAGGCACAACCACCAAGGACTACCTATTATTTTAATTGTATTAATTAAGTGACAAAAAAAATCATCTTATGATAGGAATTGAAGAGGAAGGGGGTGGGGGATATGAAAGCTAGTATACAACCTGTGAGATACACCTCCAGACACTAGGCCTACTGATGAGACTTGGGGGAGTGCAGTTGTTTATAACAAACAACATAGCTGATGAGAATTCATGTTTCTTGATTCAACCGTCACTATACTTTGTTTTAAAAACACTCTCAGTTTATATATCTCTCACATAAGGTAGAAATAGTACAGATACATTTACATTTTAGTTAATTATCCATTTAGGGATGTAGTTATGATGGGCGGGGCTGTCCAAGCCTTAAAGTTTTCTACCCAGTCTGAAGCTAATTTCATGGCCCTGCCCCGACCTATATTATTAACCCCTTGCCTATCCTTAAAATCCAATCTTAATTAGCATTTACCAATGTTATTACCCACCCAGCCTTAATTTTCTACAGGTACAACAATAACACTCAATCGAAATGTATTTACTTGCAAAATACAATACGAATATGATTAATAATGTTCAACAGTTAATACAAACCATTGTGTGGGAGGAAGACATCTTAACTACTAAGCTACTCTAAAGTTTGATTTATCAACAAGTTAAATCCAATTATAATCACACTATCCATTGACTTATTCTACATTTGGCATTTATGTAGCACATCCTTCCATGTCTAAATGTCTTTTAATGTTCCACATCATTTCCGGTTCATTCAAAATAACAACAACAATACACAATATAATTAATATTAATTGGACAATGGATGAGACAGGAAAACACCCTAGAGGATAAAGGAACATGTGAGCTATCACACATCTACAACCTCTTTATTCACGAGCTCCAGATCCAGAAGGAGGGGAACCAAATGAAAAATCTGCATAAAATAGCAGAGCGCACTCCGTTACCATTACCCCATCGGTGACGTAGCTATATGCTAACGAAATTAAACTGGGGGAAATCAGAGAAAACTGATCAAAACTACTCAAAGAATACTTACAACTACAATAACTTCAATATCTTTTAAGTAGGTTCTTTCTGTTGTTAGGATCTCCTTAGCGATAAAGTATGCTCTATCTGGAGAGTGCCGCTAAAAGGGAAAATGAAAAAAAAAAGCATATTTAGAAAAATGGTTAAGTATTTCCTCTAAAGCTTTGCCAAATCCAGTCTCCCTACTCCTAAATATTTGGAAAATTTTTTTTAAAATCAGGAAAAGGAAACTACATTCAAATTTAAGCATTTAAATGCCATTTCCGGACATGGATACAGCAACATACAATCCATACAACTTCATACCTTAGCCACATCATGGTTGGTCTGCCCTTATACTGGTAAAAATCCCTCCTAGTTCCCCCCCCCTCCCCCCCCCCAGTATTTCAAATTCTAAGATCTGCCACTGACATGTATTATTTAATCAGTGTTCCAGAGACAAAAACTCTACCATACTGTATTATAACAAATTATGATGACTTCAATCCAATTACAAGATGTACACCAGTAACTAACCTTTTTCCTCCCTGTCTCCTCTTCTGGTGGTGGATGTGCCACTGGTTCCTCTTGAATGATGGCAGTGGTCTTGATGGCAGGCATGGGTGGAGTTGCAATGTTTACATAAGCTTCAGAACCTGGAAGAATGAAGTCTTTTAATTTAGATGCAAAATAAAATAATATAATTTGTTTCATTGAAGTTAAGCAGTAAATAAAATTAAAGATATCAAACAACATTGTGTTTTTTAAACAATAAAAAATAATTACGTACATTTTTAAGAATCGTTCTGGAGATCATTCTAAAATTGGCAAAACATATTAGTAATTAATAAATATAAAATAAAAATATTATAATAATACATTCTTATAATTTTCTACTAGTGTTTTAAGATTTTTATATCTCCCTACTGGAAGTTCCTCCAGACAAAATTAGTTTTCAGAAAATTGAAATGTAAATGTGTATTTGCACATGTTATTCATACTCAACCTTACAGAATTAATAAGTATTCAACGTAGCTAAAAATATAAAATGATATCATTCACATCACACTACACTCCGAGCAATGTGTTGGAGAAAGATTTTTGATTAATGCGAGGTCCAGGCAGAAAAATCTGTGACGGGCAGTAAATGCAATCCAAGCTCAACTTGATTGGTTTGCTGACAGATGAAATGAACTCTCGTTAATCACCATTCCTTGCACATCCAATTGCATGGAGGTCTAGGAAACGACCGTAGACTATAACGGGCAAGCGTATACATCCAGGTGCGATTTTCTTGGCTTGGATGGTTAATTCGTTGTAATCGCGTTGACAGACAATGATGTGGCGTCTAGACTTAGGATGCAACAGGACAGCAGAATGGTTTGTTCATTTTATCCTTATTAAGAACGGAACTGAAAACGAATTGAACTGGAAACAAGCTGGGGTAAAACCGATTAAATTCTTGATTGCATTATTAATCAATGACTTGAGAATTTTTCAAAAAGATTTTTGATGATTTTCTACTGTACATCTTATTTTAATCAACTTTTTGTTTGCATGTTTATTAAGGATAGGTAAGAATGGTATAATTAATCAATCTTTAATTGGAAGGTAAATACTGTCTCATTAAAAGTTTAAATAAAAATTAAAAATTAAATTTAACTTGTCATGTCGATAATTATAAATCAAAACAGAGTTATTTTAAAACAGTCCGTAATTAAATTCTATACAAAAATGATGCATCAAGGAATTTTTATGAAAAATATACTACCACACTTTTGGGAGTAATTATACGAAGAGGTTGACTTCGCATATGATTCTGACTTGTTTGAATGTTATCCTTGGGAACAGAATGTGTTAGAAGGAATGTTAGCTGTAAAAGAAATGCAGTCGTAATGGCGCATCACTCACGTGTGCTTAAAGCGCATCCTTACAGTGTGTGTAAGGCTGATTTATCAGTTGTGTATAGTTTTTTATATAAGGTCAATGATTCTAAAGTCGATCATGTGTGTTGCATACATGTATATTTCACAATACACGCAAAAACCACACTACACGCCAAAACTAAACTACACGCCATTTTTGGCCAGTCTCATGACAATACTGTTTTGTTTGTTTATTTATTTTCATTTTTTTTGTTTGTTTTTAAATGATTTTTGTGGTTTCTGTCACTGCCAGCGCCTTGTTAAAATTGTTATTGTGGAAGGCACTCTACAAATATTCTACCATTACTATATATTGTAGCAAATCAAAGATGAGAATATTAAGATGTTTACATTTTCACCAGAAAAATAAGAATACATGCAGTCTCAATTTCTGATGTCAGTTCATTACTTTATATAGTAAATTTAGACTTGTAATGTTAGTGGATATAACTAATGTATTATTTTATACTGTTGGTTGGATGTGGACATGAAAATGCAATGTCACATTAAAAATACTGTATGCTGGCAATTTATAAGATGTACATTGAAGAAAAAACAAAACTAATTAATACATTGAACTAATTATGGTACTGTAATATCATGTTGTGTACAATACATAATGTAATTGCAGGATGGGCCAACAGGGCTTGGGCCCATCCGTTGGGGACAAATGGCCCAGATGTGGGGGAACACCTTGCCAGAGAGTCGCAATATAATCTGCCGGAGAAAAATTAATTACAAACCTTTTCTAGGCCAAGACAGCTTGCCTCAGAGTGCCAATACCAGGTATCTAGGTGACATTTCTAATTTCTAGGTGATTCAAATTTCTTGAATCTTGAATCACTTAAATTTGTTCATTTCTGTCCCAGCCCTGACGGGACTTTGGTGGGTGTATCTTACTTGTTGCGGAACAATGACTGATTAATTACTGGTAGAACATTCTCTGATGTTTCATGCATAAAACAAATGATTTCTGAAGCTGGGCATACAAAAACCTCAGGCAAAAAGAATATGCGAAAATTTATATCTCTAGGAGCCTTAAGTCAACACATTGCACTGTATCTCATTAAATACTTGCACCATCTTTAACAGCACATACTGATAGGTTTTATGTTATTAATTGTACACATTTGGCATTTTGTTGCTTTTGCAAACCTAGCCATCGCATACATGAGCAGGTCTAGCCCAGGGCCCATGTATGTACATGATTCACTGTTCAAATCACCCTCATAAGTTCTAAATTAGCACCTTATTTATAGGTAATTTAATCATACTTCCAGCTTACAACTCCAATCTACTCACAGAGGTGGCAGAAGTCTGTATAATCATATTGTATAATTACATACAGTGGTGCTGTGTATATGACGCTCATGGCACTTTGTGTAAAAACAGCCTCTCTGGCTATATCTAGTTATATTTTTATGTAATTTATAGTTGTATTTTCATACAAGAAAGGAAAAGTAATTTCCTGTTTTGTAGATAAAAAATGAATCAGTATCTGTACTTTTGCATTACAATAAAAATATAAAAGATATACAAAAATACAATATTACAGAATATGTTAAAAAATGGTTGGAATTTGATGAGGAGTTATTCTTTGATGCTAACATTCCTGTAATACAAGTGATGTAATAAATAAGTTTATGATGCATGTAGACCAGCTGTTAAAATGTTCAGTAAAAATATTCCAATACTAGGAGTACATGGTACATAAATGTCAAATGAACATGTATTCAAATATCACGACAATTCTGTAGGACTGTGCTAAGTGTACCAAATCATTGATTACAATGTAAAGCTTCCAATGTAATTCTACACAGGATTTTGGTTTACACTGGACAAACACTATCTGTTAGAATCCTCAATGTTTGATTACATATCGATAAAGAAGAGCATTGTCCGACTTTCGACAGAAAAGGAAATAAACAGTTTGTTTGATGAGGTATCTGAATCCAGTCACTGTTGAAATATAATTGCAAATACATTTTGTTGTAGATAAAAATCAACAGAAATTGTTTATGGCCATTCACACAAACTTATCTATTTTATTATTTTACCATTAATAGTGCTGGGAAAAGCATATTATAAACAGATTAAAAATATAACTTCTTGTGGAACTGTATTAAAGCATTGTAGTTGAAATGCTTGCCTTTCAATCCCACGATACTGGGTTCAAACCATGTCACATGCGGGCTCAAACCCTGTTACAGAGGGCTTACGAACATCCATTCTCAAGTTTTAACGTTTATAATTTTTACCTATCTAACATGTTGATTACGTTAAAAGCTTTGTCTATCAAATTTCATTATAAAACATAAAATGTGATGGAACGTTCAACTTTTTTGATACAATTTGTGAAATTATGTGATAGATGTCTATGAGAGAGAGGCCATTACTCATTTAAAGAAAATTCTAGAAGACAACTTCCATCTGCTACATAAGGAACTCATTATCTGTAGATCTGGCCGACTACTTCCTATGAAATGTAAAACAAATAGATGCAGAAAATCATTTGTGCATAATTCCATCCACTTACACAACTCTAAATTTAAAAGATAATCTATATTTATTTGCTTGAACGACCTGTATATATGTAAAATGGTTTTGTGATAACGTAATTTATTTATTTTTTATTTTGCCTTATGTATGTTTTTATCTAGTAGTTAAGATTTCAAGTGTCAACAGGAAAAATTTCATGTATACTTCATTGTAAACGTGACAATAAAGAAAATCTTATCTTATCTTATCTTATCATAACCATATATAAAATTTGATAGTGTACAGTTGACAAAGTTCAAGACATGTCATAAATGTCAGATCTCTCCCACAAACACATCTGTCTACAAGAATTTAATAAAAGTACAACTAAATTCATGCAACTTTCCAGATAGTTTAATATTCATAATGTAAGCAAATGAGGTTGTCAATGCACTAATATTAATTAATATCATCAATGCACTAATTAAACATTAATTAACACAGTATCATCAATGCACTAAATAACATTGCCATGAAAGAAAATAAAACAACATGAAATACAGCAAATGAATCTACACTATTGTAAACTTGGACTAGATAACATAAAATGCTACATTTTTTGGCTTAGTAAAAAAGAAAATTTCAGCAAAAATAATATATTTTATCTGATAGCACTCATCATAGACTTAAATGATTGTCCAGAGGTCATTGTCAAGATCAAAAAGAAGAAGGAAAAAAAAAATTACTACATAAGAAAGTTACATCCATCTGAAAAATTACCAACTTCATTACTCTTTATTTGCATACCTGCTAACACATTGCAAGCAGCAAGGGGTTCGTGTTTTTGAAGCTAAAAAAGGTCTCAATTTTGGGTTTTGTAGATTGGAGTGCCTTACACCCAGAAAGAGTTACTGAATTACAGCGGAAAACTATCTGTTGTTTGGCAGTAGGTGGTGGATCCAGGGGAGGTTAGAAGGGAACTCATTCAACTGGCAGCAGCTAAAAAATCACTATGTGTGAGAAATCACTTAGATTAAATGGGCTAAAACTGGACTACAACAACAGGTCAGGGGACACCGCAAAACCTTCCTCTGTGAACCATAAATTTACCACCGCCAAATTGCGGATCCGCCACTGACAGTATATTGGCCACTTAATTGCTGTGAATCAATTTATTAACATAGATTTGTATAGCGCCAATATCCAGTGAAGAATGCAATGTTCAGTGACGTTATGACAATAGCATTGCTAAG